ATAGGTTTCTTTATCTTTGGTTTACAACATTTTGATCATGATGTGTATAGGTATGCTTTTCAATGAGTTTACTCTGCTTGGAATTGGCTAAATTTCTTGAATCTACATATTGATGTCTTTCCCCAAATTTGGGAAGTTTTTACCATGATTTCAGCATACATTTTCCCTTCTCCAAACTCTTTGTTCCTTTACTTCTGGCACTCCAGAGATGTATATGTTATAATTTCTTTTATATTATTTCACAGGTTCTTGAAACTGTTTTTTTTTTTTTCATTCTGTTTCTCTCTCTGTTGTTCAAATTGGATAATTTCTGTCACTCCATCTTCAAGTTGACTGATTCTTTCCTTTGTCATCTCATCTCTATTCTGTTGATACCATTCAATGATTTTTTTTCATTTCACATGTTATATTTTTCAGTTCAAAACTTTCCATTTGGTTCCTTTTTTATATTTCTGCTTCTCTGCTGAGAACTATCTTTTCATCCAATTGTATTTTCTTTACCTTCTGAAGCATGTTATATTAGCTGCTTTAAAGCTTTTGTCTGATGATTCCAACATCTTGGTCATCTCAGGGTTACTATCTGTTGATTATCTTGTCCCTTGAAAATTGGTCACATTTCCCTGGTCCTCATGTTGGGTAATTTTAGATTGTGTACTGGATGCATTACATTTTTTAGACACTGGGTTCTCTAGAGAACATCTCTTTTAGCAGAAAATCAACTTGAGTAGGTTCACACAGCAAGGTCTGTCTCATCTTCAGTGAGCCATGCTCAAATATGAGTTCAGTTTTCAAAATCTTTTCTATGGTTCCAATTTGTGACATGCATATATAGAACAGAGGACAACCTAAGACTTTTATGGGTTCAGATACAGAAATAAGGGATCCCTTTTTCCGGATCTCTCCTCTCCAAGATTTTCTTCCATACTGTCCAGCCCAAAGGCACCTCTTATCCTGGTTCCTCTGGCCAGAAAAGAAGGATGTTTCTTGGAGCTTAGCTGCCTGCACCACCAAGATGGCACCACTAAGACTGTTGCGCTCTCTCAGGTAAAGTCGAGTGCAAGAAGAAGAAAGTGAAACTCACCTCACAAGGTTTACTTCTCCAAGATCTGACTCCCTCAAGAACCCATCTGCATAGTTGTTTTTTGTTTGTTTGTTTGTTTATCCAGAGGTTTAGTTGTAATCAATGTGCTGCATGAACCACTGGGTGGAAACTGAACCTCTCAGATTCAGGGTTTTTTTAAGACCTAAATGGGTATATTTTATTATCCTTTTTGGGCTAAGAAATTTTTACCAGGTCTCTAGTGAGGAGAAATTATAAATATAATTCGAACCCCACTGCACATGATTTGTAGTTTTGTTGTCTATAATTAGGCTTCAATTAACTATATAATATGTTTATAATTCTCATTTTTGAATGTCATTGACATTCCTCTTGCTGTTTTTATAAAATGAAGTCTCAAACTTAAAAAAAAATCATTTAAACTCTGCAGAAGAGTTCGAGTTTTTAAATACTTGAAATAAATACATAAAAGTACGAAGAAAATTAATTACATACTATCCCCATCTGATTATGCAAGTATGCTAATTCCCCCATCAAGCCACGACATTTTAGAATATTAGAATTGGAAGAGTCCTTTCAAGTCATTCAGTTTGTTTTCATTATTGTATCAATGAAGGATTAGAGACAATAAAAATCTAGTGACATCTTCAAAAGCCTAGAGCTGATTAATGAGAGAACTCATACTTTAACCCAGATACCCTGACCAATTCTAGTAGTCTAGTCCACTCCTATTTCTCAACATTAGACTCATTTTCTAAATTAAAGCATTGTATATTCAGGATTTCTCATGGAAACGTTGTTACACTTATATGGTTCAAATCTCTATCAACTACAAATATCTTAAAGTGATTTAGTTTTTTCCAGACATCTGATAGGAATTATTTAATTTCATCAACAAATAATGCTCTGAACTATGTATCATTATTAGCTCCATTTTCCAGATGAGGAAATCATTGCGAGGTTAGAGATACGACGTATCTTGTCCAAGGATGCAAAGCAAATAAATTGGCCAAGGCTGACTCCAAAGCTTATTAACTGGCATTCTGACTCCAAAGTTTATAGCCTTAACTCTATGAAATTGTGTCTCATGATCTGGCAAATTTTTTTTCTTTTTGTAAGTTGATTTATATGAACATGTAATAAAAATGTCATTTTTAGATTTATATATATCAAATCTCTTTATTTAAAGTAATAACATTAAATATAATGCAGTCCATCCTGGAAAATCTGGGCTGTGATATATACAAAGGGGCCCAATAAATACTTATTGAAGGAATGTGTGATACCACCATCTTTATCATCACCATCATCACTAACATTAGTGAAACATTTATTAAATGCTATCTATGCACTGTTCTAAACTCTTTATGTGCATTTACTCTTTTAATTCTCAGAATAAGCCTTCTGTTTTACATGACAGATATCGAAATGGAGGCACAAAGAAATTTGGTACTTTCCCAAGGTCGTAAAGTCAGTAAATGGCAGAGCTGGGGCAAAAACTCAGGCAGCTCTACAAACAGTGCTTTTAACCAATAGTAAAAAGAAGAACGTCTGTCAATATATTTTCAGTGAGGAAAATCCTTAAATACTGATTTCATTTAGTAACGCACCATTAGGCACCATTTGACATTTGTTATTACTTCATTATTTAGTTTTGCAATTTCAGCACTCCCGCCTCCCGCCATCTTAGCTACTTTTCCCAAAATGGGAGCAGAAGGTAAGAATTCAGTCCTACTTTCTGGCCCTCCTCACTTAGCCATGAATATTTTACTCTTTTTAAAAAATTTTAAGTGAAGACACAAGTATTTAAAAAAATAGGTTAAATAAATATATAACAAGTGTTTAAGGAAAGTTTGGAAAAACTTTTCAATAGCAAATAAATACAGCACCATTTGGGGCCTTTATCGGTAGCATTCTTCATTTCCTTTCCCAGTTCACCGGCAATCCCTCCCTGGTGGTCAGCATGAAGCCCTGAAGCCCGACTCAATCTAGGCTTTTCTCTCAATAGGTGGATTCTCTGCATTTTAGAAATAACTCACCTATGTCTTTTGAACTGACCTTTCCAGTTATCTCATTCTAAGACAGTCTGTTTCCTTCCTTCAACAGATCAGTGAAGGAGTATTTGAGGGTAGGAGAATCTTGTTTTAGTTCTATCTTCAGTAAAGCCTTACTTAATGAATAAATGAAGAAAGCCCTTGGGGGGGTCATCACAAGTGTTGATAAACGTTAAACTAAAATAAAAAGAGCTAGAAAGCACATATAATACCCTACGGCCATTTTCTCACTCTTCTGCAATTATTTTTTACTAAAGAGAAGAATTCTTCAACTTTTTTCCTTCCAGTCCTCAGCTTCTCTTTCTCTATGCTTAATATCGTCTAACCTAGGCTAGATGACAAAATGGTAGCACTGAATCTTTGCTTTCTTCTCTAGTAATCGCCTCTGTAGGCTTTTCATTTCCAAATATTACTTGGAAATAATTTTATCAAAGGCTCCCTTTTCCTTACCAAAACAAAATATTCTAAATAAAACTTAAACTTGGCTATTGAACAGATGTTTAGTTCAACATCATGACATCTAGAGCAAATTTTGAGAAAGCAATACTTCAATGAGAAAGCTTAAGCATGGAGCATCTTTCAGTAATCACAATTCCAGAAACAAGAATTTTTGGCAAGTGAAAATGCAGAATTGTTTATCATGATGTCTGTGGATGTAAAAAAAATTAATAGGTAGAATAATATGAATTACTATCTTGCTTAAAATAAAAGATTATTTCATCAGTGCCAAATGATAAAAATAAAGACGAGTTCTGAAAGCTTCCATATTTGTTACAACAGAAAAATAAAATATTTTACAAGTGGAGTGATTTGCTAATTTAAAAGACATGTCCAAGCTATGGAGTCCATGCTATTCTCCAGGGAACTTGTTCCGTAACATATGTGTGAGCTGGAGATGGGAAGTATTTTCAGTGAACCCCTCCTGGTTCTCTGAAACAATTTCGACTCAGCTCTGTGTTTCCTTGTTAAACTCCTGTCAGGTTTGTGGGTGCTTGGACATGAAAGGAGGAAATTCCAGACAAGGTTGTGACCCTCTGTGGTGGGCTTTGGGAGACAATAAAAAGCATTAGTCCCCAGCTGTGGACATGTCCACTAGTGAACCTCGAAAGTAGGGTCATCGACCAGAGAGAAAGTCTTAATTTTGTATACATTAAAAAAATAGGAAGCACAAGGCAGAGAAGAGGGAAATGGTAATTCTGGAATAAGAAATGGGCTTACAGCTGTGGGGGAGGATGGAAACCAGTGCCTTGTTGGCTTGTTAAATAGAAAAAGGAGAAAGCAATAAGCAACAGAAGATTATTAATGATCTGAATATGGTCACAGATGCCTGAGGCTGGGCCTATTTCAGGCCAATAATGAGCTTTTGGGCTTGTGGAATCACTTATTTGGCTCTGCAGCCTGGAGCCCAAGGGCGCTGTTCATTAGGAAGTGGGAACTTCACCTAAGGGTTGTTTGTGTTGGTCTTTCTCGCCAGAATGAATTGTTCATTAGCATCTGAGAGAAAACCACCCTCTCTCTCTACAGATAAATGGGTTAAAATAAAACTTGTTGATTGGGGTTGGGGTGAGCACAGGGAAAAGGCTGTAAAATAGAGATGGCTAAGCCCCTTTGATGGCAGTTGAGGGGCAAATAAGTCTGCACAGCATGAACCCATCCCAAATCAGTGTCAGACTAGCCTGATTTTATCATTAGAATGGAAAATCACTAGGCGCTATATTTGGTCCAGTTCTTTGAGTTGAAGCAACGAGATAATTGGATAACCCAAGTGGCAATCCTCTTGTTAATGCGAGCTATTGACTGTTAGTCCCATTGTGTAGTCATTGCCTCTAACAACCACCACCAACTGCTCCAATGCACTATGGCAACACCTAGGGTGAATAAGAGGATGGAGCATTCTGGAACTTGGAATTCCAAAGGCTACATTGCTGGAATATCCACCTGTGTAGGGACTTCTACCTTGCCCTGTGTGATGTCATAGTGTAGAGCCATCTTGCTTTTGACTGGAGCATTCAGGTTTAATAGCACTTTATAAGTGATGATTTTCTTTCTTTGTGGAACCTTTGTCAGCCATGGTATGGAAACATGAACGTTTCTTTGTTTCTCCTTTTCCTGAAATTCTCCAGCAAGTAATTTGGAGAGTTGAAAATATATGTAGCCTAGAGACTAGAATATGATAATTTTAAAAACTGAAATAAAATAACCAAAATTAAGTTTTGTTTCCAGATGGAGATTTTTAGAGCCTGGAATGAAGTACACAGAAAGGTTTATATAACCCATTAGTGACAGGAAGGTTCAGAAACAAATCCTGAGCTGCATGAAGTTTGCTGCCAGTGACACAGGCGATTCAAATGTGACGAACACTCTCGTAAAGGGTAGGAGGAATTGAGTGCTGCAAATCAGAAAACCAACTTTGTCCTGGAGGTTCCCTTTAATTGAGGTTAACTGCTATGTGGCCTTAATTACTGTGCTTTTCCCAGTACTTCTAGCAAATATTCCATTGGCCCCGACTCTGGCAATCTCCATTGAAATGTTGTAAAATTACCAGTGCCTGAAAGAGAGAACACCACATAAGATGGCCCCTTAAAGACTGGATTAGTTCTTGGGAGGGCCCACTGCTAATGATTTCTCAGCAGACTGTGCTGGAGTAATTTAAGTAGAACACATCTTTTTCCCAATATATTCGGACATGGAGACATACAGATACTTTCATAGCCCAACACGGCAAATTAATACCGCTTACAGGTGCCCTTTGTTCTTGCTCCCTGATAACTTATTGTTCCTCTCCTTTTTTATTAAAAAAAGCTCTCTCACCACCAAATTTGCCAGGACCAAGAATCTCAAACCTTTAAACTATTTCTAATCCTATTGGTATTTGAAATTACCAAGCAATCAGAAACGCCAACATGAGAATTCATTGTGCCCACCAGCTGTGTGAACATATTTCTTCAGGAGCATCTTCTCTTCTGATTTTGATATAAATATATTTCCAGAGCCTGGCTGCAAGCAAAGTCTTTTTTCTCTCCGCCCTAGGTCCATCTAAATTTTTTCCAATGAACAATAGAGCTATTATAACCCTTGGAAAGTGTGAAATTTTGTGAACGTACCATAGTAAATTATTTTTTGTCAATTTAGCTATCCTCCGTCTGTTTTTCTTGGCTTAAAAAGGAACTAAACTACCAGTGCCAAGCTTAGCAACTGGAACTGACCACCTACAGATCAGATTAAAGCAATGAGAAAATGATATGCATTCTCTCCAAAGCAAATTTTTCCATTTGCTCCACAACTTTCAATGTCTTATAATCAAAAAAGAAAAAATAATGATCTATGAATCAGCAAAATTTGCTTTGTTATTTAACCTTGTAACTATTTCCAATGACATTTTCTAGACTACATCTCTCCTTCCTGATATTGGTAATTTATAACTTTTATTTGAGACTTTCATTATAAAAGACAATATTTACATCATTTGAAGGTGTTACAGACTGAAGATTCACATTGATTTCTTTTCACCAGGGACATTTTCTTGGAATACTAATTTCTCAACTACTTCATATAGTCTCTGGATAACTGCCTTTTATCGATTTCATACCATGTTTTCAAAAACAGGCAGTTTAGTTGTGAATTACTAAAGGATCTCTGTAAGAAATATATCACTAAGCTAACCATGATTCTTCATGCATATGCATCATTTTAAAACTTACGTGAGGGAATGGAAGGAGGAAATGACATTTATGCATTTTCTGATTTAGTAAACATGATCAAGTACCAAAAAATATGAGAATAGTATTAAAATTCTCATGTAGCCAGTAACTAATGTTAAAAATTATAAAATATGGCCGTTATTGCTTATGATATATATTTTTGAGGAACTATAACATTAAAGAAAAAAAAGACACCATTAAGCCTCATCCCCAAATCTTTTCACTTTTTCCTTCCCCAGAAACTACCAGTATCAAATGCTTGTGTATATTTCCAGTGCAATATTGTGTGTGTGCCTGTCTGTGTAATTCTGTGTTTGTTTTATGTAAATGATATTATACTATATTCAACAGTCTGCCTCATGCTTTCTTTCACTAAGCATGATGCTTTTGAGATCTGTATATGGAAACGTACCTCTAGCTTGTTCATTTTAACCATCATGTGGTATTCTCTTATATTCGTTTATATATATGCATATATATTATTACTCATGGCTATGTTGTTTCCATTTTTATAGCCATTACAAGCAAGGCTTCAGGGACATTCTTGACAAGTCTCCTGATGCATTTGTAAGAATCTCTCTGGAATAAACATCCGGAAGTGCAGTTGTGGGTCCTAGACCAAACAGATTTTTAACTTACTGCTTACTGCCATTGTTTTCCAAAGTGGGAGAAACAATTGACTCAGCGGCAGGCTGCTCCTCCAAGTATTTATTAACTTTTAATATTTTTATACTTAAAAATGTATTCTGACAAACTAATAGTTAAGAAATAAAAATCTCCCCCCAAATGCATGGGTTTTCATTTTTCTGATGCCTTGCGAGATGATGTTGTTTTCTGTGGATTATTTGCCATTGAACTACCTTTTCTGTAAATTGCTTATATAAGTCCCTTGTCCATTTTCCGACATCATTGCTTATATTTTTCTTACAGATGTATAGGATTATTTTCAATTTTGAGTACTAATGCTTTATTATTTACTCATTGGAAATATTGTCTTTCAGTTTTTTGCTTGTTCAACTTTGTTCATTGTACCTTTTACGGGAAGGATGTTTACATTTTAATGTAGTCTTATTTATTTATTTTTCTGAGTTAAGCTTTTAGCTAAGAAATACTCTTCTATAAGAGTTTATAAAGGGGCCAGTCTGGTGGCGCAGTGGTTAAGTGTGCACATTTCGCTTCGGTGGCCCCGGGTTCACTGGTTCTGATCCCGGGTGCAGACATGGCACTGCTTGTCAAGCCATGCTGTGGTAGGCATCCCACATATAAAGTAGAGGAAGATGGGCACAGATGTTAGCTCAGGGCCAGTCTTCCTCAGCAAGAAGAGGAGGATTGGCAGATGTTAGCTCAGGGCTGATCTTCTCCCCCCCCAAAAAAAAGAGTTTATAAATAAATTATATTAAATAGGTCTCTAATGACAGTGAAGTTATTTTTTAAAAAATTTTGGCCTATAATCCCCTGGAATCAATTTGAGGATATAATAGAAGGAGAAATTTAATTTTATTTTTTTTCCATAAAGAAAACTAGTTGGCCAAATACCATCCTTTACTAATGTGTAATGCTGTTTATCATACATAAATTCCCATACATGTTTAATCTTTCCGTGGGCGTCAATTGTGTTGCATCGGGTCTTTATCTTGTCCTGTGTTGTCAATACCATGTTGCTTTAATTACTATTATTTTATAACAATTCTGGCTCTCTGCTAGAGTAAACCCCACACCCTTGTTCACTCTTTTCAATAGACTTTTATTCTTTAATATGGATTCCAATAATAGTTTGCCTTTCCCTCAAAAAGCATGTTTGATATTTTTATGGAATTCGTAAATATATAGGCTAATTGACATCTTATGACATGAAATATCTCTAGCCACAAATATGGTATACCTCCTTGTTTAATACAGGATTCTTTGGGGACTTTCAATTATATTTGATACATTTCTCTGTTCTTGCTCATCTTTTGTTTGATTTATTCCTAGGTAGCTTATAGTTTTTGTTGATATTATTTAATTGTATCTTTGTAAAAATCTTTTAAATGATTGCTATGATATTAGTTTTTCTATGCTCATATTAATTCCAGCAACCCTGATGAACAATCTTATTAAATTTTAATCCTTTGTTTTAGTTTCTTTTGTATTTTGTTTATAGACAATTATCTCTTTGCCTATAAAGATTCTTATGCTCATTTCTTTTTCCTTCTTCTTAGCTCAGCAAGGACTGCCAGGAAAATGTTGACTCGGAGAGGTGATACCAGGTATCTCCATCTACGCCTGACTTTATAAGAACCACTTCTCAACTTCTACCACTAAGCACCGTTTGGTTGAGATAAAATTTGCTAGGGAAAGGAAGTGTCTTCCTGTTAATAACTTGCTAAGGGCTTTATCAGGAATGTGTATCGAACTGGAGAACTGCTTTTCTTGCCACTGTTGAGATGACGGCATATGTTTTCCACTTCCTAATCTGTTCATGTGCTGAATTGCATTAACATGCTACCATGGCATGCTATTTTTGTATTTTTTGGATAGTTCCTACTTGATCATAACACATTATTCTTTTACAAACCGTTGGATTTGGTTCCCTAATATTTTATTTAGATTTTTGCATCTATGTTCATAGTGAAATTAGTTTATACTTTTATTTTTGTACAATTTGTACCAGAATTTAGGCATCAAACATATAGTAGACTCATACTTTGGAAAGGATGGATCTCTCTTTTTCTCTTCTCTAAGTCACTTCAAGTAAGAGAGAAATTATGTGTCCCTGGAAAGTTGAGTCAGACTTGACAATAAACCAGTCCGAAGCTGGTGTTCTTTTGTAGTGTATGTGAGTAGAAAAATTATGCACTGCCTGGGAGGTAGCAATTTACTATAATTCAATTCTTCTAGTGTTATTATTTGTGTTACCAACTAATATATTGTACAACAAATTATAGCTAATTATGATATTCATAGAATTGTACATTTATCTAAGTTTGCACATTTATTGACTTTTTTCATAGAATTATCTTGAGTCTTTAAATGTCTACTATATTTGAAATTATGCGCTTTTTATCATATTGATATTGCTTCTCTCTCCCTTCTCCCTTCTTTCTTAGGTTGGTTTTCCTAGACCTTGTCTATATTGTAAGGGATTTTTCTTTTTTTAAGAATCACTTTGGCTTCTCTGATGCTTATTGATTTTTTTTTTTGTAATTTGTACTATCTATACTATTTTCTTTTCTATACTACACTTATAAATTGCTGTGCAACTATCATTATTTTGTTACTTAAATTGCTTCAGATTTATGGTAAGTGAGACTCCCTTCAAACAGGTTCCCATGTCTTTTTGACATGTCCCCATCATTCTTTGGGCAGATCTTTGATTTCTGGGATGAGATATTTCTCTGAGGATTCCTGGTTCTATTCATGGACTGTGGTATTCAGAAGCCAAAATCAGGGTACCGGGAGTGCTCATTGCTATTAGAGTGTTACTACCTTTAGGCAGAACTATAGTATATATATATAGTGTATATTTGTGCACATATATATATCACGTATACACACACAATATGGTATATGTACATATATATAATATATACATATATATACATAGACAAAATAATTTATATTTATCTCTATAAGTTGAAAACTATGTGTTCAAGCCAATACTTCTAACTCCAGTCCAGCAGTACAAGGTTCATTCTAGCTTTCTCTTTTTCTGTATTTGCAACTCCTTTCTCCAACAGTGAGAAAGCTGTCTTCTATTATCCTTAATATATTTACTTATTGAATCAGTCCCTTTGTTTGTAACCTGTCTCACTTCACTGCTGCTGTGCTGTCTACTGAGCAGAAACCCTCCTCCCTCTTTCCAGGCTCTGACATCCAGTGTCAGACCACCCCCAGCCCCACCATGTGGGTGCACTCATTTCACTCTGATGAGGCTCCAACTCCTGATGCTGGATACCCCATTGGGAAGGTACCTTCCTCATCCTGCCCAGGTTCTGAAACCTCACTTGGAGCCATCCCTTTGCATGGACACCCTTCTCAGCCAGTTTGGGTTCATGATCCCATCCTGTGATGCCCTTCCCATGTGGAGGCCCTTCATACTTACTTGGGTTCAACACTCCATGTTAGGCTACTCATATCTTCAGACACTCTCTCAATCCACTTAGGCTCTAGTTCTCAGGTTGACTATCTCCCCTGCATTGACATCCTCCTCATCACACTTGAGCTCTGACGCCTTGCTCAGGTAGCAACACCCACTGCCACATCATCTCTCACCACCTAATTCCATGTGGACACCCTCCTAATCCTGCTTGTACTTCAACACCTCACACCAGGCCACCTCCTGCATGGCCATCCCTCCTTATCCTACCTTTGCCAGACAGCCATCTTCCATGAGTGTTCTCATTACCCTCTTTGCACTCCACTCTAAGTCACTGTTGTTATCTTGACTCCAGCACAGTCACATACCTTGATCTATTTCATCTAATGGTTTTAAGCTTATATTGTTCAACAAAGCAAGGGAAGGGAACTAAAAAGAGGAAGAGGAAGGGCACACAAATTTTAATATATATATTTAGCATACTCTAAAGTTAATTTATGTTTCTATGCTTCTTCCAAAGAAATCAAGAACCCTGGAAAATTTTTCTCCAAATTTTCCTTCCCTCTTTCATTTATTACTAGCTTATATTTTAGTTTCACCTTATTATTAAATCTCACAGTGACTATTTTTGTCATTATTATTATTATTACAATTTTTACCATCAATATTTATTGAGTTTACTTTACATGGTAATCTATTTCTTTACTCACTATCATTTAATACATCCTCTTTCTTTCTTCTGAGCTTAATTTTCTTCTTACTGAATTTTAGTTGTTTTAACAAGGTGCGTCTATGTGTAGAAAAATTTGTAAGCCTTAGTAGATCTCTTACTTCTTACATCCCATTTCTTTCTTCTGGGTTTAATTTTTTCCTGACATTTATATTTTAGTCTATCTTATTATGTCAGTCCGTCAGTAGTAACTTTTGTTAATCTTTGTGGATCTCAAAATCTTTTTATTTTCTCTTGTCTTGATTAATGCTGTATCTGCATATAGATTTCTAGGTTGATACTTGTATTCCCTCAGCATTTTAAAGATGCCATTCTACTGTTTTTCAGCATCTCCTGCTGCTTACAAGAAGGCTGTCAAACTGCAGTGTTTTTGTCATTAATTCTGTCTTTTCTCTTTAAATGTTTTAAGCATCTTTTCTTTGTCTTTCTTTTCTAACATTTTACTATTATATTTTGAGTTGTAGTTTTATTTTCGGGTCATTCGGCTTGAGACTCATGTTTTTCTCCCCTGACACATTTTGTGCTTTTTTTTTCACCTTTCTGCCGACATGACTCTCCTTGCCTTTTTTCTTCAGTTATATCCCAAGTAATTTTCTCATTTCTGATTTTCAATTCACAATGCTTTTTTCAGTTGTGTCTAGTTTATTCTCTTACGTTTTTATTTGAATGAATATATTTTGATTTTCAGAATCTCTATTTGGTTATTTTAAAAAATCTCCCTGTCCTTTGTATACACTGTTCTCTTCTTTATGTATCAGTTATAGTTCTCCCTTTCTTGCTTTTAACCTTTTAAATGAAAATAATTTTAAATCTCTTTCAGATTCTTCTATGGTTTGAATTTATAAGAGTTCAAATTTCCCTATCATGTCTTCTGTCTCAGGTGTCCTTTCTCTTCTTTATTGCTTCCTGTGCTTTCCAACGTCTTGCGGGAATCTCAGTCTCCTCTTCCTGTGTGCTCAGAGCCTGGCACCTGGATTCTGCTTCCTATACCAGAATCAGCATCTCATCCATAAGGTCTCTAGCTAGCATTTCTATCACCACAAACATTTCGGCTTTAGCTTCTTTTTCTGACCCTGATGCTTTAGTTACTTCCCTGTGTCTGGCATCTGGAAAAGTTCCCTTTTGGTTAGCATGGCTTTATAGTTTTTAAAAGGCTATGGCTTAAGAAAGCTTCTATTCTTGGAAGCAAGAGGTGAAAAGTAGGAGAGTTGGAAAAAGAGGATTCGAGATGGATTCCACTTTAGCTTAACCTGTCATATTAATCAAAAAACAGAGAATTGTAATATTAAACATTAAGAAGAGAATAAAAAATAGGAAAATACAGTAATACCTTAAGTTGGACTCATTCATTAAAAATTTGAGATAATAGCTAAAAATTATTTTCATTATTATTTTATTTTTTGTACTTTTGAAGGAAGTACAATTACTAGAAAAGACCATGATGATAGACTTTAAATTATTTAACTACATAGTGTATATTTAAAGATCTTTTGAGCTCTTATTTTTGATGCATTTTTCTGTTAATTATGAATGACATACTGATGAATGACATATGAGTGAGACCCGTCTTTAGCATTCCTGGCTTCCATTTCATAATTATTTTCTTTTTTGAGTGGAGATTTTATTTCTCTTCCTTGTGATCAAGAGTCCCTTTCCTCTTCCCTTTCAAAGCATGGGAGGTCACAGGAGGCTCCCATGATCCAGTTCATGGTTCTGGTAGATGACTGATGGGGGCTAGGCAATGATTTTTTTCTGTTTCTTTACAGAGATTTACAGTTTAGCTGAAGCAAAGGAAGATGAGACAGAAGAATGGATCTGTAGTGGTAGAATTTCCAGTCCAGCAATGTAATAGGGCATTTGTGGACTCAGGTTTATCTTAATTACTTCCCTAAAATCATGTTATACAGATGATTGCCTCTGACCAAAGGCCAGTTCTACCACCAATAAAAATAAAACTTAGTATGTGTGTCTCTGAGAACATGTTACTGGTGCAGTTTGAGAATATCATTAAAATGTATGACGCGTATCTTTAAATAATTTTTTTGAAATTTTTCATGTTTAGACATTCCATCTGCTTTAATTTGTGAGATTTTTAGCATAAGCTTAAAATGTAGTAAAAAATGTGACTAGGGTTTATTATAACTTCATTGTACATCTTCTAAGTAATCAAGTGTATAATAAGGACACATAAATATTGAATTATATGATGCAATCATATGCCAGAGATTCTACCCAAGATTCTTAAATTTTGCTGCCTATCTTACTGCTTTGAGAAATTGATAAGAGATTTCAATAATTTTCCCAGAAAAAATTTGCAGGAAACTTGGAGGTACCATGACCTTAAATCCCAAATCAGAACTCAGATCATAATCTCTGATTTTAGAACATCTAACTGTTCGTATCACACATGTAAAACCAATCCTGAACCATCCCAGAAACAGAACTGTTAGGTTTCATTTTAAGATGATGGTATCTTGTTCTTTCCAATCCATGCTTTCTGAAATCAGATGTGTAAGTTGAGTGATACCAATTTACATTCTGGGGCCTCAGACAAAACAAACAGATGAAAATAGCGGAAGCCTTTTAATGCAAAACATAAAATTGTTCATTTATACAGGAGAGACCCTTTGTTCTTCCCAGTTTTCCTCGCCCTCATGTCCCTCACATTCATTCTTTGCTACCCACTTGGGTCAGATGACATTTTTTTCCCAAGGGTGAAATCCAACATTCTATAAGATTTTGTCTAAATCCCCTTTGCACTATTAGACTCATGCAATTTTAGAGTGAAATATACCTCAGGGACATAAAGTCCACTGTGAAATAAAATTTAAATCTATTTCTGGCGACCATTTTGTGACCCCCAACTTAAATATATCCATTTCCTTCACTTCCTATCCTTCACACACACACAAAAGCCTTATTTGACATATACTTATTTTCCAAAGTTAATGGGGTGAAGTGTGTATTAGATTTGTTTTTCTCTTAAAAGAAAGAGTATTTTGGAAGAGTTTCTTGAAAGCTTTTAAGATAATTAAGATAGCTCATGGGTGTTGAGAATCACTATTTTTCATATGTATATATTTTTATGGAATCAAGTCTTCTGGAACATTGCTTCTTGTGAATTAATGTCACTTTGCACTCTTTTAATGCTTTCAGGCTAGCGTGGCATTTTGCACAATCAGAATAACTCATCTCTATGCAGTAGATAAATTTATTGTACCTGTTAAAAGGTGTCTATTAGGTTAAAAGTGATGTTCACTATAATCTAAACAAATCATTTGACCTTTTACAAATGACACTTATTAAAACCTATGTCAGAAATGGAAAAACAAAATTTGAAGTTTCCAAACAAAACTTTTTTTTTACTTAAGAAATAATGGAACATTAACATCATTATTCATGAGACTTGTTCTTGAAGGATATTCTCATTAAAAGATACACTAGACTATGAGCTTCAATTTAGGAGGGAAAAAGCTCTACTTTTTATATAAATATCTTGATACTCATTAGGAATAATCATTGAAATGATTTCCTAAATTGAAGGATTGTGTTATAGTTAATGAAGCTTGTATTCAACAGTGCATCATTAAGAAGAGGCAAATTTTCTCATATTAAATTTCCTAGGTTATTAAAAGATGTAGCATTGATCATCCTGCTGTGGCTGTGTGCTGAGAAGAGGAGCCTGGGTTCATCTATGGCCATGGCGCAATGCAGAAGATCCATATAAATTACGTTTGTGCAGATTCTAGAAGACTGTGGACAATTCCTTTTGGGAGATCTCAATATATTAAGACTGAGCTCAATCTTTGAGTTACTCAAAATAACCAGCCTGTTGTCCGTTCTTTCGTATATATAAAATACACCTTAATTCTGCCACGGAGTACTTGAGTTTCTACAGTTTCTATGAAATATGTGTATTTGTGAGCGTGTGTGCATCTTCTCTTTTATGATTGGTTTTCACTAGTGGCTAATCTTCTCTGCTGGAGAACGGAAGGCCTGACCTCGGCTGCAGTGAGGGCCACCGGCTCTGTGGAATTGAACTCCTGGGTCCTGAAAGCAATTCTTCCGCTTACCACCTCTGTAATCTCAGACAAATTTCCTAAATTCTCCAAGACTCAGTTTCCTTGTATGCACAAAGGGTAGGATGACCAACAATCTCAGTTTGCCTGACACTGAGGGGGTCCCTACATGCAGATCTTTCAATCCTAAGACCAGAAAAGTCTCAGGCAAATCGGGATGAATTGGTCGTCCCAAAAGGGGAAAATAAAAGTACCTACTCTCTAAGGTGTGCTAGAACCAGCTCCTGCTAGCTATGAGAGACAATCGATAGAGTCAGGAATTTTGTGGGCCAATCAATATATACTCAGAAATTTTGGAGCTGTCCATAGCTTGAAATCATGCATGTTGGGAGTGTTACCACCATGGCAATCAGCAAATGCTAAAAGCCAGGGCTTTTTTTTCTTCCCAGAGAGCCAGTTAACTAACATACCACTGCCTAACAAACAGCAAAGTTGATCAAATTACTAATTGAAATAATCCATGTAAAATGCTTAGTGGAGTGCATGATACTAAGTAAGTACTCATTCAGTGTTACTGATTAGTCATTTATTATTATCTTTATTAATTTTGCATTGGCAGTGAATAAAATATCTTAAACTGAACTGAACTCTGCCTGAAGTCACTTCCTATAAATTATTTCAAAGGATTTTTTTTTAAATGCATCCAGAAGGTAGACCAAATATATCTTCTAGGCCTCCAAAATATTGGTTTCTCTCTCCTCCCTTCTTATAAATTCCCTCTCTGTGAACCTAGAAAGATCTGTCCTTTCACTATCCTATCCACTAGGGCCAGTCCTCAGACACTGCACGTCTGGCTGGGGCAGTGACTCTGGCTGCAGGAGTGCATGAAGAATTATGCATTGGTGCTGTGCATGGAGCATGGTAAATTGGATTATGCTAATTAGGTCCATTTGGAGACAACATGGAGAAGGTGGCCCCCTGTGTTGTGACTGAGATGATCACCACGTAGCTTGCCCTTGCCCACTGCCCAAACCTTTCCCATATTTCTCTGATCTCCAATACTGTTAGAAATTCCTACTTTTAGTCTTTGAGTATAGAGTGTAAGACCTCTCTTTAAATGCAAATCCATCACTTGGAAAAGGTAACACATTAGGTCTTCAACAGAGTGCAAATTAGTTTTATCAAATTAGGTCTAGCAAGCATCCTTGCTTTAAGAAAATTGACCCAGGAAGGTGGTGAGAGGAAAGTTGTGAAATTTGGAAAAGTACAGGAAAGGGCAGGCACAGGTGGGACAAAGGTGTAGACACCCAGTAGGCAGCAGGGGGGTTGTTGGTTCCTTGGATGGAGGAGTGAATATTAAGGGTCTCGGGCAGTGCTAGTTCATGAATAAAGATGAGGGGAAATCAAGGCAAATCTACACCTCCAATTCTTGACTCTTGAGAATTTAGAGGGATTATCCAAGCAAATTTCTGAATTTTCAGGTTATAGAAAGAAGCTGGAGTCAAGAAAGGTAAAAACAGTAGCAAGCCCATAACAATTTTGTTGGGACCAGCCTACATCTTCAAGTACAAAAATGTATGCCTGAGAGTAAATGCGTCTAAGTCATTCTATCTCTGTTTCGTTAGGAAGTCTAAGGTATAAAAATGAAGACACTCTGTGGAGCCATGCAAGATGAAAGGATCCTAATCCCAAGGTATTAGATGATCATTTGAGGATTTTGTCCTTTCTCTGGCTCGGTCCAGGCAAAGCCAGCAGGCATTCCCTCCTTGGGAGAAACAGATCAATCTCTTAGGATGGAGATGTTAATTCGTGCTGAAGAGCCCTACTGGTCTCCCAGCAAGACATTCAAGGAGCGGTGTGCGAGCCTCTCAGTTCCTTCTCAGTGTCAGGGGATCTCCAGCTGATCTCTCTGATTGCTCTCATATAGATAATGTAACGTCATAAAAGTGGAGCTTCTGTAGCAGCTTACTTGCAATGAAAGGCTGCCTGTGGCTACCCAGCATTCCCTGGTGTGAGTGCTAGTTTCTGTGTTCCATCCAGTTTAAGAAAGAAACGGAAGGGGTGGCTCACGGGTACAGGGGAATTTCTCTACCGACCTAGGTTTGCAAAAGTGCTGGAGTGGAAAAACGTAACAACTAGAAACAGCATTCCCAGTACACAGACATGCATTAGGCACCCCAGCCCTTGCTTTTTTTAAAGATTCAAACTCTGTATTGAACCAGATGCTCTTTCCTGTCTCTGTTTTCTCTCTCTCTCTCGGATGGTCCCCTGGCTTTTAAAACTATTGACTAAAAGCTTTCTCTTTCAAGTCTATTCACTTCAGAAGGTATCTACTCACGTGTACCCAGCAGCATCCTCCATCCACACCATGGAGGAAACACAAAGAGACTTGAAACTTGGTCTATGTGCTTCAGGAACTTAAGTTAGAGGCAAGTATTTGTGGTACTTTTTTTAAAAAAATGAATAGTCAATGTTACAAAGTCATACATGACTTCAGGAAAGAAAGAGCTCATCGGGGGTAAAGAATTGAGGCAGATGTTCTGGCCCTTTCTGGGAATGTTGCTAATCATAAAATAAGAGATGAAGAAAACAGACGAATGAAATCTTAGGCAAGGAAAATCAGATAGTTAAAAACACAGTATGGAATGAACAACATGTGCCTGTGTGGTGTTTGTTCTTTCGTGCAGCAAATATTTCCTGAGGTCTGATCGTGTGCCCAGCTCTGTTCCAGAGAGCTGGGGGTTCATCCTTGAAAAGAAGTCATTGTCCTCCTAGGAGACGATATTCTAGTGGAGCCAATAAGCAAATGAACAATGAAACAAAATAGTTTCAATTAGAGATTAACAGGATTAAGAAAATCTTAGAGGAGAAAGTGCCTGGGAGTGGGGGTTCTTGGAGTTAGGATGGCCAGGGAAAGCCTCTCCGAGAAGGTGCCAATTTTACTGTGACCTGAAGAATGAATGAGAACAAGGCGTGTGACACACAGGGAAGAGCTGCTCAGACAGA